AAAGAATCTTTAACCTAATCTTTAACCGTAGAGATTATAAGTGACTCGGCCAATGTTGGTTAAAGATTCTTTATAAAGAATATTGTAGAGTAAATCAAGGGCTATTTTTGATATACCAAAGAGTACAAGTTGGATCCTCGTTTGCATATGAAGAAAAAGCCACTTAAAATATCGCTTATATCGTCTTTTAGGTCAATTTGTCTCTTGTAAAAACACTTTCTTCCTATGGAAATGATGTATAAGGATTGTTCATAGAGTATTTTATTCAGTTTTTCACTGGCTATTGTTTCATATCAAGATTTGTGTGAAATCTATGCTGGGCTTTTCAAAAATATTATTTTTTTAACAACGACGTCCTCTGATGGAATCTCAAAATAATCAACGTTGAAAACGTATTTTGAGCTTATTTTCCGTAAGAACAACTGGAAAATGTGGCCAAACGTCTTTTCTATAATAGTCGAGTCAAAATAGGCAAAAAAGAAACGAGGGACCGTTTTCTGATGAAGTTAACCCCCTCCTTTCAGCACGTTGTAAGTCTTGTATCAATCATGGACTGGTTATAGTTGACTGAAATTTGATAAAAACGTCAACATGAAACTTTTGGGCTCATATTCTCTCTTCTTACAGGCATTATTGGTTCACTGTTTTCAATTCTGCAATATCTATCATCAACGTTGGCTGGTTCAGCGTCTGATCGTTATGGTCGAAAACCCATACTAATTCTATCCATGGTAGATCGCTAGTTTTACACAGTAATAATATTCCACTGTTGTATATAATTTTCTTCAAATGTTCGTTGGTACATAGTATTTTTATTTTCTTTGTTCGTTTTCTTTTAGTTAGGTATATCGTTATCCTATGCAATATGGTGTGTATCATTCAATTTAACAGTGTTTATTATTGCAAGAATCGTTGGTGGACTAGCCAAGGCCAATGTAGCTATTGTACTTTCAATTGTATCAGATGTAACAACAGAAAATGAACGAAATCGTGCAATGGTAAAATACAAAGGTTTATCTTTCATATTTATTTCTCTAATATATAATGTCATTTATCATTTATTGATACCTTCATTCCGTACTTACTATTCAGTTGTTTTGACATTTTATTATTAACTAAACGAAGCGTATCATATCATGTTTGATGAATTCATTATTGAATGGTCTAACCTATTTTTGAATACAAAAAAATACACGTAGAGCAAAACATGTAGCATAGAATAGACAAATAATGCTCTCTTTGATCTGGATCTAGTTATGAAACCTCTGATACAACTAGTCCTAGAAAATAATTGAGTGTTCTATGTTTTTCGATTAATGATTAGATAAACGTTTGCTGAACATTTGATGAAGAAATAGGATACAATGAATAAAATTAAAACTAAACAGTTTTTGTGTTGCACACCAGAGATGTGTCTTTAAAAAGGACGTTAAAAAAAATGTTCAGTCTAAATTAGTTCTAGTCCGGTCGTAGAAAACTAAACCATAAGGAGTTCTAATATCCGTCAGTTACAAAACTGTAGTGGTATGATATCAACAAAACTGAGTAAAACGTTGATGAATATTACCTACAATATACACCTACTAATAGATTTTTTATGTGAAGCAAACTTACCTCTCTGGTTGATCATGAGAAACATGACTGCTAGAAAATGAAACGAATGGGAGATAAAGTGCGATTTGATACTTCAGATGAATTTGTTTTATATTCAAAAATTCGTCTATTTGATCAAGACTCAATCCCATTGGTGATTAGTTGCCGAAATCGGGTATTTCGTTCCTTCCTATTCTGTTCACATCGTTCATAATCATCCGTGATCTGCTCCTGAATGAAATTTATTAGTAGTTGAAAATGTATTTCTAATGTGTATAGTGGTTGATTATTTTCTTCCTAGGCGTGGATTGGTGCAGCATTTTCATTAGGTTTTATCTTTGGACCATTACTGGGTGCTATATCCAGTCATTTGGGTACAAAATTTTGGCCATTATCACCGTTTAGTTTCTATGTTTTACCCGCTACTATTTCATTAGTATTATCATTAATTAATATTGCTTTTATCAGTTTTCTTTGTCCAGAAACCTTACCAGAGTCAAAACGGGTATATATTTTTAAGTAAAAACCAAAATTTCTATTACTTTATATATAAGAAACATCTTCTTTTGTTTTAGAATGAAGAAGTCAAAACTATTTCAGATATATCGAATGTTATTTTTCCATGGCATTTATTCAAATTTTCTGCTTTAAAAACAATAAAAACAATGGACGGTAAATAAAAATATATTCTTTTTCATTTTTTCGTCTCATTATTTTATTTTCACATTTTAGATGTTTATATTTTACGCCGTCTTGGCTTAGCTAGTTTTTTATACATGATCGTATTTGCTGGTCTCGAATTTACCATTACATTTCTTGTTTATAATCGATTTAACTATAACAGGTGAAATAAGTCAAATATTTGACAAGCAGCTGTTTTCCACTTCTTTTTTTTTTGTTAGCATGCAACAAGGTCGTATGTTTTTCATGATGGGTATGACTATGGCTCTTATACAAGGTATTTATGTTCGACGTATTCCAGATGGAAAAGAAATGATCACTTCAATGGGCGTAAGTAATAATGAGACTTTACTGATTGGTACTCAATTTTTTTCTACAATAAATGAAAATTTATCGTACAATCTACCTGTTATTTTGTTTTCTTCTTTTTGTTACAAAAAGACAATGTTAAAATATTGAAAAAAAAAAAAGAAAACAAAAACACCACACATCAAAGATCGGAAAAAAAACAACAGAAAAAAAAATAATAATACGTTACCTAAAAAAAAAAGTTATAGAAAATAGAATAATCTCTATTTTAATCGTATATTGCACATATATTTTTAATAACCGGGATCCATGATGAAAAAAAAAGAAACCAAACTATTAATCTGTTATACAGATGTTGGTTTAACATTTCTATTATCACTAAAAAATGGTGGATCAGTTAAACTCATAACAATTTGTTCTTCTTCATCATCACTTCGATTCCCATTATGATTATTATTATGATTATTTTCATTTAAATCTATTATTTTATCATTATTTAATAGACGATATTTTCTTCTATTATGACTATATTTTTGTTTATATAAAATAATCGAACCTAATATAATACCGATTAAAAATGCAAATAGAGCAATAAATAATGCTATACCAGAATAGGATCGTGTTCGATTTAACCATTTTGATCTACCACGTATATATTGTTTTTGACATAAAATAAATTTATTTTGATCTTTTTTATTCATTATTGATAAAGGATTATATAATAATGATTTTTGAATATATGTACCATTATTTTTATACCAAAATGAATAAAATTTCATTATATTTGATGAACAATGTTTTTGTTGTTTTAATAAATCTTGTGAAATAAATAATAAATTAATTTTTGGTAATAATGCATCCATAGCTATTATTTGTAATGGATTACCAGTTAAATCTAATATTTCTAAATTTGGTGATTGTATTGCTAATGATTCAATTGTTTCAATTAAATTATTTGATAAATTTAATTCATAAAGATTAACTAAATGATTATTAAACATATTTGTTGTTAATTTTGTTAAATAATTTGATGTTAAACGTATAATTTGAATATTTTTACTTCTTATATTTGTTAAAAATGGTATTAAAAAACTATTATTAAATTTATTATATGATAAATCTAAATATTTTAATTTATGTTGTTTATTAATATCAAATTGTTCAATATTTATTAATTGATTATGTGTACATGATAAATATTCTAATTCATATAAATCTAAATTTAATATTAATCGTTTTAATGAACGATTTAATTGTTTTGAACAATCAAGATAAATTAATTTTGTTTGACGTAATAAATTTATTTCATTAAAATTATTTCCATTAATATTTAATTGATGTAATTCATTTAATTTATTAATATTTTCAAAATCAATTGAATAAATAGAATTATCTTTAATATTAAGTATAAGACCATTTATATCAAAATCAATATTACTAACTAACATTGTTATATTTGAATATATTGATGATTTAATTAAATTTGAACTATAATTAATATTTGTTGTTAATTGTAATAATTTTTCTAATTGATCTTCAATAAATGAATATTGATCTTTTTTATTCATATTTTTTGTTGTTGTTGTTGTTGATATCATACTTATACTATCATAATAATTTTTATTTGGTTCACGAAAATTAATATTAAAATCAATTGGATTATAATCAATAATAAATGTTTTTAAATTAATAAAATATTCAATATCAATTTCTCGTATTTGATTATAACTTAAATCGAGTGTATGTAATTGAGGAAATGTTTTATTTAAATTTATTGGTAATTCTATTAAATTTAATTGTTGTAATCGTAATACAAGTAATTGTTGACCATTATGTGTTATTTTTGTTGATCGACATTTTAATAAACGTGTAAGATAATTTAATATCATATCATTATTATCAACATCATTTTCAAGATCAGTTTTTAAACGAAATCGAATTTTTGATAAATCTAATTCAGTAATAAAACGAAATACATCAAATATACAATTTGTACGATTTTCATCACCCATTTGAAATGTTGACATTTGTAAATCGAGTAAACCATCAATATATTTTACACCAGAAAATATTTTTTCATTTGGAAACATTGATACATCATATTGATTATGTCTTAAGATAAGATTGTGTAATGTTGATGAATATGAACCTAAAACAAAAATTTTAGGTAAAATATAAATTTTTTAGTATGATGAGTTCATAAAATAATTTTGAGACTCTAACATACATTAGCAGACATTAGAGAACACTTTTTTCAGACAGAATACGTTTGATTCGATTAAATTTAACAATTATAACGCGTGACAACGTTTCTTCAGCGAAGTTGCGGACTAGATTCCGTTAAATATCGTTCTAGAAGATTTAATGAGTATATGAGCGTGTATATTTTTTTAACGCGTGTTAGCTGAAAGAGTTACTCTTAAAGTTATCCCCCATCTCTTTTTTGCAAAAAAACTTTTCATTTTGAGCTGAACATAGTCTAATGTAGAGGAAAGTCTGGGCTATAAAATGAGACCATCTCCAGCTCTCCATGACCTTCTTTGAAATTTTTAAATAAATAATCCGTAAATTTTTCCCTCATTTCCTATAGATTCAAAACTTTTTCTTATAGATAGCATGATAGAAGAAAGTGTACTCTTCAAAATAAGATGTCTTCCAGAATTTTCGGATGAGTTTTCGCGGAGATATAAGCATCATCGAAAATGCCCTGAAAAATAGAGCCCTGTGTTCAATAGGTGTTTTTCTCACTATGCGTTTTTTCTAGTCCCTTCAATTCAGTCACATTTCGACCGCTCGAAAAAACGGCCCGATCGAACTGAAATTTTTATCACAGATACTTTAGACCCTATCTCAGGTTCGTGTTTTTAAGTGATTTCAATTTTAACTTTTGGCTTGAGAAGGTTTGTTTTTTACAGGATTTTTAATAGCTTGAGAAGAAAGCATAGTTTTTGAAAACAAACCTCAGATAGGATCTGCCGTATGTTTGGTAAAATTTTAGATCGGACCGTTTTTTCGTGGGCTCTTAATGTGGCTGGATGAGAAGTCATAGAAGAACATGTCAGAAATTTTCGGGCAAAAATACATCAATTTTCTTTTTCGATGTTCTGTCTCTAGTATAAATCTCACCCCAATCAAACACCGGCTTCCTCGATTTTCACGAGGGTCGACACTGAGGGCGGGGACCCTTCAGTACCTAATCTTATTTTTCTCAACAAAAATCGATTTTCTAAAATTTGTCTGACAACTGGATATTGCACAGTAGGTAACTTTGGCTAGGCAAGTGGACATATACTAGAGAAGCAGTGCGAAAGCCTACAAATACTGTTTTTATACGTTTTTAGATATGCTTCTTTCAATGGTGTGGTTTACATAGTTCAAAAATGTATTTTCTGGGTTTTATAGAGACCCGGATCTCCAGAAAACCTACATAAAAATATTTTTGAACTTTGTAAATCACATCATTGCAAAGAGCATATCTAAAAACCTATAAAACTAGTATTTGTAGCGTTTTGCATGGCTGCTGAAATAAATATCAAAACGCCTAGTCAAAATTTACCGCGCTAATGCTTCAGGTCTAGGATTTCGTTAGATCGAAAAATTTTGTACAGAAAAACTTACAAATTACACATCATTCGACGCAGTTTTGTGCGCTGATTACGAATGTGTTATTATTTGTTAATACAGCCGCTTCTGGGATGAGAAAAGTCGAATTTACCTAAAAAACCAACGGTTTTTAGAAAACTTAGTCCAGAAACATTTACTCTGATTTGCGCTAACAGCATAGCTGTATCGCTCTCTTCATCAGTCTGTTTTGCATCAAAAACTTTCACGTCGATTTTCTGGCTAACTATGGCACTTGGAAAAAAATTTCCAATTCCATTTAAATAGAGTGTGAGCACGTATTGAACAGCAATGAACTCGCTCGCTAGATTAATTTTTTTGTTTTTAATGTATGTTATCATGTGTTAGAATATCAGAATTATTTCATGAAATGATTAAATTGAATCATACCTGGGGTATTTAAACACACTTTATACATATCGGATCCACTCATATCAAGAGTTTCTAATTTACTTAGTGGTTTAAATAAATATGGACAAATAGTATCAAATGGATTTTCATCTTCATCACAACAATAGGATAAATTTAATGATTTGATATTGGTCAATAATGATGAATTAAAAGCATATGGATCAATCATAATACCCGGTTGTTCATCTTCCATTAGATGTTTTCGTACATTTATTGTATGATATTTCCAATATAAATAATTTGTATTAAATGATGTTAATGAGAGAGCTTGAATTTGATGAGAAAAACCAGTTAATTTAACAGTTTGATTTGAAAATATTTTAATAGCTGTATTAGATAGATCTAACGATATTAAATAGTCTTTTTGTGCACCATCATCTTCATCTTGATCTTCACTTTCACCATCGTTTGGTATATCAGCTCCACCTATTCTTAATGGCGCATTGTATACTAATTTATTTAATGTTGTAGCTGAACAATCAATTGAATATTCTGTTTGTGTTAGTGCATCGATAGGTGTATTGAGTGCTTTACATAAACATTCATCGGGACAGGGTAATGGTTCATGTAACGAATGTGAAAGAGAAATGAACAAAAATATTGAAATGAAGATTTGAAACATAATATTTAATAAAATGTTTTATTTGTATTCATCTAAAATAGAGAAAATGTAGACATATTTGGTTCATCTGTTTTGATTCAGATGTTTTATTTTCTGAAATGTATAATCAGTCGTTCATTTAATTCAACTGATACATCGAATCACTTGAACAGATGATAAATACGAAGAGTACGACAAGCTTTAATTCTTTGATTACTCACATATGCGTAGTTTGTTGATATAATGTGAACGTATGTGTTTGTCTGAATCATCTGTTTGCCTCTTGCTCAGGTAAAAAAATGTACTTTTTTATAAGTTAAACAATGAAAATAGAATTTTTACGACTAACATTTAGAAGTTCGATGAAGAAACACAAAAAATGAAGAAAGGAGAATTATAATTCATGTTTAAAAAAAAAAACCATTTAATAGATAGAGAGCGAGAGATAAGAAGGAAAAAGCCCTAGTATTCTTCTTCGTTTCTATCGCTTTTGTCGACTCAATACAATATGTAGCATTTGTGGGGTTGAAGGAGTACAGCAGTATGCATTTTATGACTGAATGAACGATTTAAAAGAGAAAAAAGGAAGAAAAGAAAAATGTTTTTTCCTCGTTTGTTTAGCTATTGTACACATTCTTTGAACTTTTAATAAGTTCAAGTGCGTCAAAAATTTATTCTAGTAGCTGAAAATGTACACTATATTGAAAATGATCTGATCAAATAGTGATGATGAGTAGAAATTAAAAGTTTTGTATCCGTCTTGATAGATTGCTTTGATACAGATCGTATAATCTTTTCCAGTTTTCCTTGAAAAAGAATGAACCCACTATGGCTAATGGTCATTTACTTTAGAGATTTAGAGTTTCTCAATGGTAGCCTGTATAAATAATTCAGACGCATAGTCTTACGTATATAATTGTGAAGGTTTGAGACCAAATTACTGCGCATGCATCAGACTGATGAACCTTTTTTTGAAAAAATTAAGCTATTTAGGCTGTTTTAGTAAATATTTTATTTTCATGTGCAAAATGTACGCGCAGATAGAGTTTTGAAACCCCTTCTTCCCCCAGATACTTAAGCGGATCCATAACGTAAGTTCTTCAACTCCTAGAAAAAATCCGGATTGCTGTCAGACTAGCGGTGATTCAACTGATCATAGTTTGGTTCTTTTAGAGATAAACTCTCACGTATTTTTTCTTCATTTTTAGGGTATTGTCCTTCTGATTCCAGCATTTATTATACTCGGTTTTGCAAAATCAATTTTAGTGTTATATATTGGACTTTTATTGTTTTCACTAGGTAAGTTGGCTAAAATTAGCTGAAGGCAAATAGACCTTGCTTTTATATTTGTTTTCAGCTTCGGCAATTGTTATCAATGTTATTAATAGTTTTGCATCAAAATTCGGTATGTATTTATCATCAGATATAAAATGTATTTTGAAAAAATTATACGCGTTATTTATTGTTTAGGTTCGGATTCAGAAAAGGGAACTATTCTTGGTACACTAAGATCATTGCAAGCACTCGCACGAGCAATTGGACCTTTTGTCGCATCTTCTGGTAACTATATTTCATCTAGATATCGAATGAATATCTTATATAAAACTCAGTTGCTGTTTATTTTAAGCTTATTGGACAATTGGTGAAGAATTAACATACATTTCTGGTGGTCTACTGTTGATATTTCCGTTAATTCTATTATATAATATCAAAGAACGATTGAAAAAACTTCGATATATGCCAAGAATTATTGTGTCACAAGCAAAAGATGATTGAACAAAAGTGATATCAATGTGCGTGCGTGTAAATGTTTTTTTACTTTACATTTATGTGACGCTAGATGCATTTTACAACTGATTTTTCTCTCACGAGAGAATATTCTCAGATGCTCAACCTCGATTTACTAGTGAAATAGACTTGTAGAGTTTATTTCTCGGATAAAACCACAATCGCGAATTTGTTGTTTATTTTTTCTACATACAGCTTGATGGTAGCGTTATCGCATGGCAAACTTCTACGTAAAAAGATTTTGGTAAGTAAACGGGGTAAAAGAAAACAATTTCTCTGTCTCTGTGAAAACTTGTTTGTTAAACTGTAACAGTTTTTTCCCTCATAAGGAACTTCATATGCTTTACAATGCTTTATAATAATCTCTTTGAACGTAGAAGTTGTCATAGGTTTTCACTTGGCCGACTTCTAGCTGTTACTACGATAAAGCTATATGCAGAAAAAATGAATAACAGATTCGCGAGTAACATGAGAAATAAACTCTATAAGTCTACGTTACTAGTTAATCATCTGAGAATATTTTCTCGTCAGTATCAAATGTTTCACATGTCGTATACAATTTTTTCAACAAAAATTCTATTGTTTGGATAAAGAACAGAATTGAAACACTATGATTTGAAAATGAATAAATTAAGTTATTTTGGTAATCATATCTCGCGTACTTAAAAGAGTTTTCATTTATTAGTCAAACATTTTATGTCCATTGTATTCGGAGGATATACTATCAATAGAGGATTTTAACAAACTGTCAAAATGCCTACTTTTTAACATATCGATCGTAGTCATAAGTTAATAAATTTTCCAACATGATTTCAAGAATAATGAGTTCTTTTCTAGGTGTAGATGAATGAAGTGCTCATATTTCCGTCAATACTTCAGTGATCTTGTCAAAAAAATTATAAATGGTATGGTTTAATGTGTTTTGGGCATTCACATTGCCGGAAAATACAAATACCAACTGATTTTTGAAAGAATCTCTAGATTGAGCTGTAATCGATTTATTAAAAAAATTGTCGTTTTAAAGGTCGTTTGGAACCCATTGTCAAATCTGTCCTCCTGTTTCTACAAATCAAACTGACTTGTCTAACAAAAACTGTAACTGGCAGGGTTTCTGTATTCAGCACACTAATAAGATACACATGACTAAGTTGGTGTTTTCTTTATTTTTCTTCTGTGCCTGAGTCTACTCTTGCACTACAAACTAAGTCAATTATCCGGCTGTGGTAGTGTGGATATCGAGTCGAGTTCGCTCAGCCATGATTTTGTTGTTGTATCAATAATAATCTGTTATCATAATTTGTTACGTCGTGTATGGTTATGCTCTTGTTACCATTTTATATTACTATTATTAATTAATTGATTATGATTGACAAGGGTGAATGCTCCAGACAGTCATGGACCATATTATGATTCGGTATTCAAACATACGATTCGTTGTTCGTTTGCTTTTTGACGTTAGTTATGCCAAATTATTTACGACCATCATCAATGCGACTAATCACCGCCTTATCGGATTAATAAGTACAACAAAAACACATCAACTATAGTGATGACACTAAAAACATATGATAAAATCACTTTCTGTTAAAGAAGCCAAGTTCTCATTAGAAAATTAGAAGATATGTTGATTGACGAAACGTGCAAAAGTGCACAAGCTAAATGAAGGACAAATAAAGGCAAATGAATGAAAGAGTTCAACAAATGTAGTTAAAAACTAATCGCAAATCACTGAGTCATACTGTAGAGCTAGTTTACAGGAAATTTGGCTAAAACAAACACAGACAGCAGCAACATCAACAAAATTTTGTATAGGGAAATGATCCTTATAGTCTAGGTACTTTTCAAGTTGATGATCCATTAGTCAGTGAGCCTGTTCAGGTAGATAATAACAGTGAAAATAGTTTTTATATTGTTAACCAGCTGTGCAGTTAAACTCAGGGATTTGTTAAGACTCTTTTTCTTACTGAACTTTTTCAACCTTCACACGTTTTTCTGCTTCAAAAGTAGATTCTGATAATTACAGTTACACTTTACATCAATGACTTCTTAATAGATATTAAACACATTAAAGAAGAAATGAAACTGATGAAATGTCGACTTCATTTGATACAAAAATAATGGGAAATATGTGTTTTGATCACCAAAATTATTAGTAGACAGACAACAACAAGAATATGAAGAAAATATGTATAATAAGAAATATGAACAGAACAGAACAGAAATTTAATTTAATTTCTTCTAATCTCCTTTGATCAAAATGGTTTTGTTAACTCAGAATAGTTACAGATAACGTTCCTAAACTGTATACGGCGGCATCATCAGAAAAATATCGAAACAATAATGGAAACTATTGCACACAGCTAGATCATACAAATGCATCACCATCATTAATTTATCAGTTACTCGTCATCAACATTCTATTCGACAGTATTGAACTTTTATATACACTAAATGTCTGTGAAGTGGGTTCAAGGTAGTTGCTATAACGACTAATCAATAATACATATTATCAAAATATTCTGGAAGAATATGTTCTGTTTGCCACTCATTCTAATATCGACCAATTTTAGAAATCATTTTCATTATGTGAATGTTCTCGTCAGTAATTTTGAATATTTTAAAGTACTTACCTCGATCGACAAATGAAAACGAATGTTGAACATGATGAGCAGTTTCATGAAAAATGTTTTGGCAAATCGGCTTATAGTTATTTACAAAATTTAATTGTTATTAAACGACTATTAATGGTTTAAATAGTACGTCATTTGCCATTCGCGCATAACAAAAAAATCCTTTGAGTTCCACAAATTGTTATATTATTCAAATATACCAAATTTCAAGTGAACAACTGAGATAATGGATCCAAAAGATCGTTTTCTCAATGACACGTTTAGTGCTATGACAACTGTTTTTCTTGTTGCACATAATAACAATAAAATACCGCATATATATCAAAATATATATCGAATAACTCTAGTTGCGTGTTTTTAAAAAAAAGAATGGATAAAAATTAATAATAAAAATTGTTCGTGTGTAACACATTACCTTTATATGTGAACGCATGGCATACACATTTTACTCAACGATACAGTTCGCTTCTTTTTGCGTTTCTTTGCAAAAAAGATATATTCATGACATGTGCTTGCTATCAAATCAAATTTTTGTATTTTTATTTACAACGTTAAGTCTTAAGCCAATATGTACAACTGAAGCATAGGAACGAGTTTATAATTTGAAAATGATTGAATTTTTAACAGCAGCTGAAAGAAGGAAGAAAAGTATCATCTTTCAGCTGCGATCATTTTCAAATTTTAGCTCATACACAAAAATTCAAGTTGATAATTGTTCTTGTAATTGATGTGAGTGAAATAATGTGAAAATCTTATTGGCGAGTACGAATAATTAAAGTATTTATCGTATTTAGTTCTACTAGTGTGAGGTTGTTTGGTTTAAGACACTTCTGAATGACAGGCAAAAATAGTCAAATAGGCGGGCGGACATGAATACAAATAGTACATAGATATTGCTAGGTATCACAGGAGGGCTTAATCTGGTTACATAAATGACGTAGAGACAAGAAGGTCATTCAAATGAGGGAATGTGAGTAATGGTGTCTAGTTTTGTATTTTAAACTTATCTATACTCTTTTTCTTCTTTGATGTTTACTAACTGTAGTTGAAAAAGATTAGTTACACTACTGAACTCTAAACACACTATCTATGCATATTGATACAGAAAATTGATCTTGAAAGTTAAGGAAAAAGAAGCAAAAACAGGTAACACATGCTAGAACTACAGTGAGTCAAAAATTGTTTATTTCTCGATATTTCCTCTCGATCATAATATCTAGAACAAAACTGAAATCAAATTTCGATAGCTGGAAGAGTTTCTACTATAATGTGGTGCATACAAAGATTCCATCAAAATTAGTTGTAGTCCGAGCCATTTGAAAAACAAAACAAATCCTATTTCAGGTGTGTTCTAGCTATTATGATCAAGGAGAAATATCGAAAAACACTTTTTTGCTTTACTGTGTTTAGCTTGTTTTCAGCTATCGTAAGAAACCTGTAGAGTTTTGTGTTGTCCTCTGGAACAGATCGAAAATTAAAAAGTACACATTGAATGATTGATGAATCAAGTCAAAAGATCTTTCACTTCATATACAGTTTCGATTTATGTTTTCTTTCCTAATTAACCATTCTATATAGAGAACACATTTTACATAAAAACCTTGAAAACCTTTTCCTCTAAGGTCTCCACAAATGTATCAGAGAAAATAGTCTAGTTGATCATAATGCAACGAAAATGTACAGAGAATTCCTACACTGAAACAAGTAAAATGTGTAATTTGTACGCTGGAAAAGCACATTATTCTGGACGGTATCGACATATTGAGAATAACTAGCTCTGTATAGGATTTACATACTAGAGAAAATGCACACAGAGAACGATTCTTTTTCGTTCAATTTATTTTCTGGTCTTTTCCATACTATAAAACGTTGCACACTATTTTGGACGGAACTGACACACCAAAGAAATTGTACAATGGCTGACATACTTTTTTTTGGAGTGCAGTAAATCCTATTATGCGATTCTGTCAGATTCTTATAGGAATTCTACCATGACGATGGTAGAATTTTCTAATGAACCTGGCATCTACCACTTTTCTTTCAGTAATCCTGTAGTTAGTGGTAGAATCTCACAAAATCCAATCGAATTCCTATAGGTGTTTTCAATCGTTTTTGTTGGCTTCTTGCTGAGAAAAATCTCCTTTAGAAATTCCTACAGAATTTATCGACCTAGAAAATTAAAAAACAATTGGACTAAAAAATAAGGCTTAATTCCATATAGATGTGTGTATAGGACTTAAACTTTTTTGTATTTTCATTGACATTGGTAATATTGAGAGTTATGTACGCCGTGAAATTGAATAGATCAGTAAAGTATATATAATACACAGTTACTACCTAGAAAGATCTGAAAAGCAAAGAAAAGTTGCTTGTCCCTTGTTGTAAAGATTTTTCAGAAAGTACTTCTTAGCAATAAGGCAACTATTTGGATCATTGGCAAGTACTTAGCAAGTAATCAAGTACTTGCATCAAGTACGTTCTCTAGGGACACGACCCTGTAATAGTAGAAGATGTGTTGCTCTTACTATAAGACTTTCTTTATTTTGAACTGTTTTTTAACGGTAATAAAGAAATTACTAACTAAATATATCAAATCAATTCTTCTGGGCACTAAGCAACACGGTTTTTACTATCTTTCTAATGAGTTGTTTGCACTGTATAATTTTTTTTCTTTCTCTCTCACTTTGAACAAAATGTTTACTTTTTCAATGTTTTTCTTCTCTCTAGAAAATTTAATTATATCAGATATATTTGATATAGAATTGACCACATCACCGTTGAAACAAATGTTAATACATTTATGTCAAGCAATATTTGCCGCTAGTCATACACTATTACGTGCGATCTTTAATATTGCACTATATTCAGTACTATCTCGAATATTTTTAAATTGGTTTGGTTTTAATACTTTATTAGCATTTGTTTGTACAGCATGGTGTATAACAAAAATCACCACATATGTTCGCCGTTTTTGGTTAACTACACGTTTACAAAATAAAAAACCCATAGAAAAAATTATTGTTAATGAACTAGTATGGAAATGTAATGAGGATGACGATAGTAGGCATTTCAAAGAAAATTGGAATAAATTAATGCAAGATGATTATGAACATTCTTTTGCTAGTATTGTTCGTGTTCCATTTGATAATGGATGGCTATGTTTTGGTGTAATGATATTTATCGATTACTTAACAAATAATACTGATTTATCTTATTTATCGGCATTATTTTGCACTGTTGGCTTCGTAGTTTTAGTATGTTGTGGTAGTTCAATAAGATACCAGACATTACTTAATCGAGAAAAACAAGTACAAGAACAAGAACAGGATGATGATTCGAGTGAAAAATATTTGGTATTAAGCAATAATATTCCAGTAGCCGCTCTTAAAATAAAACAATCGAAGTGGAATAATGCGTTTAATGTCGTTTTTTATTCGTGTCATTCCAAATACATGGATTATATTACTGATATTGCAAATTTTTCTTTAAAAAACGTTCTCCATCGTATAGCGGTCTATTGCTCTAAATACGATAATTCACAATGTCAAATTTTATGGAATATTCCAACATATAAAATAGAGTGGACATATGCATTACAAGTAAATGGATTTACAGGCAAAACTCTATGGACAGAATTTGCTTATTTACCATTCGTGAAGTCAACTGTAACACAATATCAATATGACTTGACTGTAGAGAATAACAACGATGACAAGTCACATGGAGACAATACGAAAAACAACGGTATTGAGATAGATTGAGATAGATAATCAGGTTCAAATATTTTTGTTGATATTTTATACCGTTACGTTTTATTTTCTGTTTTTTTGTTATAATTATTAGACAGATAATCAATTGAGTTCCGAATTCACTTAAATTTTATATAATATTACTAGTAATCTACTAGTTGAGCCTGATTCTAAAATCTCTATATCTCAGACATATGTCAAGATAGAGAAAGTGCGTAAAAAAACGATGTCGAGTATTCTGCTCTTTTCTCGACTATGACATATTAAGCAAGCTATCATCGTTTACACAGAATTATTCTGAGGAGAAAAGTGAAGGTGAAAGCCCAATAAAATTTAATAAAATTTCAAATAGATAACTTCTGTCTGCCAATAAAATAGTGGACTTGAGCATTTTTTAAATAACTCAAGAACGAAAAGAGACAGAGACTTGCGGCTTTCATCATTATATAGTCAAAACTTTAGAGTGTCTTTTTGCAAAGAGGAAAGGTTTCCAGAATCATTTGACAAAATAGATTTTTCAGAAGATCTTTAGAGAACTTGTTCATAGTCGCAAAATTTTAAATAACAATATATTAATTTGTTTACATATGTAGATAGTCTAAAGTGTCCTCTTTAAAATGGGAGTCAATCGAGAACTTGCTATTGCATCGTTTAGCCGTGATGACAGATTTTGTACACAGATCAGTACTACTTCAGCAATCTTCTCAATAAAAAAATGTGGAAAGATAGATTAATGATTACGCTGAATTCAGTAAAAGTTTTGAAAATGTCTGTCTGTCTCTTTTCGTTCTTGAGTTATTTAAAAAATGACCGAGTCCACTATTTTATTTGACAGACAGTAGTACGATAGTATCAGCCTTCAGAATTGTAACACGACGAGTTGTTTCTATCATCTCGAAACTCGAAAAACTAAATATCGTACAGGAACGTATATCAGGAGATTTTAATCATCTTTGTCATGTGATTCCGTTTTCTGTGAATTATATGGCGTTCGTCTATTTAATAAATAGTCATATTGTTGTTCTCGACCGTTCACCGATGATGAAGAAGTCGTTGATTGTTTGTCATTATTATCAATTTGAATCTTATTTTTACCATTGGAGACTGGTAAAGAGTTTTTTTCATGTTCATGGCGTCGCTCTCGTAATGTTAAATTTGTTCGATCGTTTTTTGTCGACACTGTCGTGGATGTTTGTTGATGGTCTGATAACGATGATGGTAGAACACTAATCGATCGACTAGATGTTACACGCATATATTTAGGATTCTGTTTTTCAGTTGCCATATATTCAGCTGATATTCGTTTGGATTTTTTCATCAATAGATTGTCGTTTCTCGGTTGAGAAGATCCAAATTTTCTCTCATTTGTTTTAATACCCAAATATTCAAGAGCACTAGAAACAGAAGAAACAAAATATATATTATTTTTTAGTTGACTTTTGATACAACACACCTGTTTGTAGTTCTATGTGTACGTTGTGGTCGGTTTTTAATGTTTGTTAAATATCCTGTATTCAGCGTTCGAACTGTCGGTCGGCCAGCACGAATATACAAATTATATTTTGTAAAATCCCGTGGATCATTTAATCCTGAAAATAATTAAATATCAAATAGTAGTACAAATAATAGTTAACAGGAATACGTACGAAATTTTGCTTTTTGCGCAAAATCTGAAAAGAAGTTCTGTGCATAAAATTATGTGTGAGTAAAACAAACTAACTTATGTCAAATAATAGATAGTGTGCAAATCAATGTGACTGTCAAAAACCAACACTCAATTTACATCTAAATATTCTTCATCTCCTTACCCATTTTGTAGAATGGACGATCTACACACAAATCTTCTTTTTATGAATAATTACTCTCTATCTAAAAAAATGTTTGAACATTACCTGCTTGAAATCTCGATGATAAAACTTGAAGATAAGAATTTTTATGAGCTAATTTTGTTCCTGTCATATCGTAAACATGACATTTTTCGATTAAAGACAATTTTTGTCCGTGTGTTAGTGACGGATTACAATAGATACCACTTTTTCGGAGAGGACGACTCAATGGTTCAGATACATGACATTTTTGTAAGCCTAAAACAGATTCAAAATGATTCTTTAGAAATAGTGTTGATTTGATGTTTTCATTGATTCGAGTTTTGAAATAACGCAAAAAGACAGGGAAAGTAACCGCATTTGACGAATAAGCAAGAAAACAAAAATCATTAAATGGATGTTTTTTTCTTAGAAAATTATCTTTATACCTGTTGTAGGATGACTCATTTTATATAAAAGGAAACGATAGTATTGCCATAATGATTCGGAGAATGCGGGATCATAATTCATATTTTTTCTTCCACTACTTTCGGTCGATGTACTTCGACATTGTACTGTGGAACGAACTGATTTGTTATCCGATGATCGCGCGGGTCCTACTGTTTGGGAGCCTGAAAAATTAGTAGAAAATGCTTATTATTATGTTTTCGAAGAAGTTTTTTTTTTTTATAGAAAAGCGATAGTCACGAACTTTTTTTTTCTCCTCTTTCATCTTTCTAATAGACATTATTTCTTTGATACTGAGAAATTGAGTAGGAAATTGCAAAAATTTTTTTTGCATGGTCACGCAAAACAAAAAATGCAAAAAAACATAAGCGACGTAACGCGAAAAATGGTTAGAAATGCGAAATTCTGTGTATTTGTTCTAGAACAGAATATTTACAAAAAATTCTTGATTAAAACCAAATATTTACAAAATTCTGTATTAGTCGAACTAATATAGAATTTTGCATTTTGCATTTATAACCATTTATCGCGTTACGCCGCTTATGTTTTTGTATTCTTTTGTTTGTTTCATTATTTACGTTGTTTTCTATTTTCGCTCGTCATTGGCAGGGGGATATCGGATTCGTCAATATCGTCAACAATTGATGAACCTTTACAAGACCAAGAGTGCCAATATTTGACCTGTGCTAAAATAAGAGACATAACTAAGACACGAATAATAGTTGTGCTAACTCACCTTCAAAATGTCTATCTGGATTGGGTATTAATTGTGCAGAAAAAACTCTGGGTCTATAGAAAAAAATGAGCTGAGCACATGTTTCTGGACACTATCATTATTCATACTTTTTTCCTATTTCTCCTGATCGATTTTCTATTTCTTTCTGGGCAATGTATTCGTATGAATCATTGCTGGTAACATTTGATTCAGTGGTTTTCAAATGTCCACGTAGATGAGACTGTAAAATAGAAATTTTTTGTTCAACGTGTTAGATGTTCCTTGTCAGCTCTTATTATTTAGAAAAGGATTATTTCTAAATGTGATATTTCATTTTTAGTTTCATGTGTTACTGGAAAAAGGCGAGAAGAAAAACTGCCAAGTATCAAATAGTTTTTTCCATTATTTGTAAGACACTGTAAAGCGATGTTTGAATAAATATTATATATCATCTTCATTTATTTATATTATTTTATTTTATTTATTCTTGTGTGCCGTGCCACATTTAATAATTCTATATAAACTGTTTTTTAACAGATCCTATTCCTCTTATCTATCTCCTTATGTCCCTAAAAATCCAGCCAAAAACGGTTTAATAGTAGTCTTCGGTGGAAAAACGTAAAATAAAGAGCATTATACAAAGCATACTTTGTATCTTATACGTGCGGCACAAGGTCAAGGACCTGGAAATAGAAGTTCTCGCTATCTCTATAAAAGCATAACTCATTCTATACTTTGTTTCTATCTTTTTTTTATGCATAGTACTTTATGATTTTATTTAATTTTCGAAAAAATGGTTTATTTTAAATAAAAATTGTTTTGGCCGTACATTAATAATTTTCATGACATGATACTACCCTAGAGAATGTCCATTTTGTCTGATCTTGAAAACAGAGTGTAGACTTAATTACTTACAGGTGTCTGTTTCCTGACTATTTTTTCTTGTTCTGGTCAGCTCCAAGGTCGGAACAAGCAGGTGATAAAATCAGATCAAGATAGTCTGTTCTTTCTACTGATCAGACAAACAGTAGATCGTCGTCTGGCCTTGACTTTTTTTGTCTGGTCTTGATATTTTCTGAGAAACAGACACTGGTCAGGTTCAAGACCAGAATTCTTCGAAAAATTTCAAAATTATTCTCATAGGTGATGAGTAATGTCTTAAAGATTTCTGTGATGAACAAGAGATATCTAACGACATTCCGAGTCTGTTGGTTACATTGGAAGGTCTCCAGAAAACTTTCTGAGTTTTGACTGTTTTTTGCGCACTATGGGCGATTAGCGAGGAGCAGGCCTAATTTTTACATATATACAACAAACTTGTGGTTTTGATTTCTTTCACTGATCAGGGGAAAAACAGGTCTTGACCAGGAAAACAGGCAAGGACTTTTTTACTTACAGGTATCTGACCAAACAAAGTAGACATCCTTTAGGGTAACTGTTGAGGCAATTCGAAGAATTTTGCCCAGCTTTCGTTTCAATAATACAAGCAACAGGAGAAAAACATTGTTGTTGTATGCTTAAAAAAATTTGGTGATTAAAAAGTTGATACTCTCTTTTTATTAATATCATATAGATCTGAAATGACACTTCTACACTTTTCAACTGATATTTTTTTTTCCATTACCGTTATGAACACTCTAATTGACTATCATTACTCTATCTTACCGATTTATGTCGATTGTTAAGTAAAATAAGGTTTGTACTGGAATTCGTCGTATCGTAAAAGCCGGCAGACGGACTTGCGAATGGCCAAGAACTTTTTGTCGAATAATTTCCTCTAGATAGAAAAATCATAAATACCTCTTTTTTTTCCTAACTTCTAATCAACCGTATGTACAAAAAGTCACAAAACAATCTCATTATTTAATGCAATTTTGTTTGGTCTTAATGAAAAACTTTTTGTCAAGCGTTAAAAAATAAAACTTTTTAAGCGAAAAAAACAGCGTGTGATCTGCTATAGAAAAAAAACACAAAGATTCTCACAGAATAAAAAAACAAATTTTCAGGAAAGAGTGAACTTTTTATAGTACTAGTTTGTTTGATAATCGTCTTAAGGTAGAAATTCTGAGCACTTCTCCCTTATTAGAAATGACGATCTTTGCCAAAATTATCGATTTTAGAAAGGCACATGGTGTGATAATGCACAATCTCTTCATACGATTGCACTTATTCTTTTTTGTCTCCGAAAATACGTTTCACCAAATTTTCTGAACGTAGTAATTTTACAAAAAAATTTAATGTCTGTACAGTGCGCACGTGCAGATTCCCTATGATCGAAAAACTATGAACAAGTTCGACGTTTTCAAAACAGTTTTTTTTGAATGCAAAAAGGAATGGTGTTTTATTACTAAAATTACTTAGATTTTATTTCTTTTTTGAGTGTCACAAGGCTCGGATTACTTCAGAAAAGAAGAAAAGACTTGTGACTACGGCTAAATAAATTCAACACCCTGGAGTTTAGATTCGTTATGTGAGTTAGTTAAATAGTGCAGCATTTGAAAGCTTATTTTCTCGGTTGTTAAAAGAGTATATTGGTGGTGTTTATTCACTGTACATACAATTTTATTTTGACAAAAATAAAACATTTTACCTGGAAAAAAATCTTAAATAATCTTCTTTGGACTTTGCTGAGCCAACCAAGCGTTCTAATTGATGAAATACCTTATCTGTTGACATAATTGTTATTATTATTTCACTTTTCTACTCATTTTTGACGTGCTATTTTTATTTTTTACTGGTCTCCCTCTGTATTTCTGAATGAGATTTTTTTTCTTAAAAGGAAATAAATAAATCAATTCACGCGAATGGAATTAAAAAACAACATGTCTCCACTTTGGAATGAACAAGACAACAAATACAAATAAGAAAAAGATTGATTTTTCTAAAAGCAGACATTTTTTAATCTATAAATATATATATATATATTGATAACTTGTGTAGTCATATTAAAGAGATAAAAGAGGCAGTGAAATACAATATCTGCTTATGTCTCTCTCTCTCTCTCTCTCTCTCTCTCCTATTTCAATTTTTATTAAAATGTTTAATTTTACATAAATCAAATCAAATTTTTATATGAATACCTTCAAGAGTAGTCTTTCTCTTTTGTTTCACTCATGCAGCATCTATCATGCTTTCTTTTTTCTTCTTCCACATCAATAGTCGTAGATCAATATAATTGAATTTTTTTGTTTTCTTTCATTGATTGTCGAATGAATTATCACTAAGAAAGTATTTTTATTTTTCTAGATATAGATTTTAAAGATTTACTCTGTGAAAAATGATAAGACGATGATTCAATTTAAGCAGAAAATATACTCTTGAGGCAATATTGAAATCAGTTTATCAATAAATCAAGATCCATATTAGAAATATATATATATATATATTACTTTGTTTCTGATATAATATGACCTCTTATCTCTAAGTGTTTTAAACTGACGAAAAGAATAAAAAAATTTTGTTTAACATACGTTGATGACGGGATTATTCTAAGACTTCATGATAAAATAAAATGAAAAATAAAAAAAAAAAAAAAAAAAAAATTATATTTTTGGGTGTAAAATTTTATTTTTTTAATTTTTTAAAAAAAAAAAAAAAAAAAAATTTTTTTTAACATTCGTTGATGACGGTATTTTTCAAACACATCATCAAAAAAAAAAATTAAAAAAAAAAAAAAAAAAAAAAAAAAACTTTCTATTTTGCGTAGTAAACTTTAATTTTTATAATGTTTACAAGAAGAAGAAAATACACATTGTTGCATAGCAAAACTAATTTACTACTGAAATAAAAAAAATGACTCTATTCTAGGCAAAAGTTGTTGGTGATCGTGATATAACTTCAATTTTCCATTGTGGTGTGTCATTTATTTCATAGGATCGATTACGATATAATAAAAATATTACCATTGTTATAATGATTAAAAATAGAAACATTGCTGGTACAAATATGGCTAAAAATAGACGAGGATCGAATACGCCCGTAAATAGACGAATATTAAAATTATCGATAGTTGACATTTGTTTTTTCTAATTAATTCTATTATACATAATAATTATCATATTCTCAGTAAAATATGAACGAAAAATTTTACTAAGATTCATTAATTTATAATTGTTCTAATTCAATATTTTAATATTATTAAATTTTTTTTTTCAATCATTTACTAAATAAATTAAAATTTTATTGAATTATTTTAACTAACATACTTTAAAAGTATCTTTATTTTTTCTTTCTTTCTTTTTGAAGTAGATTCTAAGTGAGTGTTGTTGGTCTTCGATAGTGAAGTGACATTATTTTATCCATTCATCTGCTCTCTATTCGACTAGTCATCTTGTAGGGGAATAGGGAAGAAATCCAACCACTCGTCTGAGGAGTATCTCATCGATAATGTTTAGTAGTACTATTGGTTTACTTACCTCAATTTACAATGGACAGTTAATAGAATTAGAATCTTGTTGGTATCAATAAAATTTTTCATCGTCTAGATATATACTCATAGTGTAAACTGATATATATATATATGCAATGTATACTTCACTGATCAAATAAAATTATTCATTTGAAATCTCATATATATATATATGTAGAATGCTTATCACTCACTCTCTACATATTTACAAGTATCGGTAATAGTGAACTGACCACTCACTCTCTCCTTTTCTTTTCTCTTTTCTTTTTGTTATATAAAATAAAAATAAAAATCTTTACCAATTGATATTTATAATTATAATTTTGAGTAATCGAACATTCGACAGTTTGTTAATCTTACTATGAATAGAAGAAGAAAAAAAAGAACATGAAAAATGTTAAAAATAAAATGACCCTTTTTAAATTAGTTTAATATTTATATTCAAGGTTTATGATTCAAATTACACGACAACGTATTAATATTGGTTCTTATAGAATAAATGATAAAATATTGTTTTGTCGAAAATGTTCAAGTAGAAACAGCTTTAAGCTATAGAAACTTTAAAAAACAAAACATAATGAAAAAAATTCATAAAACAATAAAATATATACAAAAGAGCGGAAATTAAACATGAAATACTGTAAAACAAGATAATTTTAAGAGAGAGAGAGAGAGAGAGTGACTAAATATAAACAGATGGAATTATGACGCTATACTGCTGTACAAAGTTTACGAGCTAAAACTTCATGATCTATTTCGGAATAGGATGACGATATATTCTTATTATTTATTGGTAATGTATTATAATTTTTAATTAAATGTTTCGATTTTGAGACTGATGTTGTATTACTAGTTGAAGATGGAGATCGTTTTTTACGAGGTAAAGGATCAGTTGTCGGTGAACGTATATGCATGGATGTTGTTGATTGAGATATTTTCCCATTACCAAGTATATTTAGTGAATTATTGGACATTGTCGATAATTTTTTCTTTGTTCGTTTTATGGTTTGATGTTCGGGCATTATCGGTAATTGTAATAATTCATTTAGACCATGATGATTCGGATTTAGACCGGCCAGTCTCGCTAATCGTTGACGTTTACGATGTTCAATAACAATAACACAAACACGATATAATTGGAGTAATACTACAAGAAAATTTTTTGTTGTAAAAAATACATTTGATTGACTAATTATTTTATAATGAATTATTAAACCGAGACGAAGGCATAGAAATGGTCCATCTTGTAATAATATTGTTGTTGATAATGCCTATAGAAGAAAGAATATTAACTAATATTTTTATTCTTAATATTGATGATCAATTACATACCCATAATTCGGTTTCCCAAAATAGACGAAATGTAAAACATTGATCAGTTGAATCATCGGATGATTGAAAACCGCCTCTAGTTTTACGTGATTTTGTTGATGTGACAACAAGTGTAAATTGTAAGAGACTAACAGACCATGCTGAAAGTATTAAATGAATTATTGTTAAATTTCTTTGTACACCACTTTCTTTGAATGCTTCAAATAATTCGATGATATCAGCCGCTGTTCCAATATAAACAAGAAGTAATTGTGATAATTGATCTCTTGTCATTGTTTTTCCAACAGGTAATAACCATCGACCAATTATTAATACTAATAATAATGTTTGTTCGACAATTTGTGTCCACATTTCAGCTGGTATTTTCCATGGTACAAGCTAAAATTTAATCAAAATTTAGCCTCATAAAATTAAAAATACAAGACATACTGGAACGTAATCCTCATTATCCGTTGAAGTGATTAATTGTGTAACATTGTATCTTGAACGTTGTTCAGCTAAATCAAGTTCAAGAAACCAAACACTTGGAATAACGGTACATAAATAAAAGAAGACGGACGGACAAAACCTAAAAAAATATCTATTTCATCAGGAATTGAAACAAATAAAATAACAAAGATTTTAATTACCATTTCCACTCATGTCCATTATTAACATAGAGTGTGACAAAAAATTCCGCTGGTATTCCAAAAAGACTAGAAATGAGAAAAAAGTCAAATAAAAAATTGTCTAGTCAATATTTTTGAGACAAAAAAAAATTTACGTGATTGCTTGAAACCAATATTTATTTTTTCGATAAACCAATGCTACACGCCAAATGGCAGCAATCCCATGTATAGCAAATAAGATACGAGCGGCAGCTGCTGCTGTAACCGCAAAAAATTCGGACATAATCCACTAAGAAAGATAATGTTTGTTGATTAGTATGCATAAATCTTTAGATCATTATGAGAAGAAACATTGTTTCAGCGAATGCAGCATGGAGAAGGATAGTTAAAGTTTCCTAGACGCAAAATGGTTGTGAACAAAAGTCAAATATACTTCAAGTTTTTTAAGGATTTCTAATTATCACTAAACTCTTTGAAGTTTTTAGAAATTTCATTTATGAGGCAAACCGTATTTGTGTTTTAAAATCAATTTAAGAAACTGTTTTCTATTTTTATACGGAATTTTATGCTGACAATCTAGACGTTTTGTAACCATGAAAAACACGTTGGTTTATTAAAAGTAATTTTCATGATGGTAATAATCGTTCAGTTTTCTACTAAATTCTGAACAGTTTTTGAAGACTAAAGTTTTTTTTATTTCCATAGTCTTTCCCAACTCCTTTACACGCCATATCTATGGGATACTGTAGCTCTCCATTCCAAAACAATTAAAAAACTGTTTAAAAAGAATTCTGTTCTGTAGTGTAGCATAAGTAATAAAATACAAGTTTTCTTACATCCAGCTTAGAGTTGTGACTAGAACTGTAAAAGTTCCCGTTACGTTGATGTAACTATTCTTTTCGTTACCGTTAAAGTAACTGTCTTTTCAGTTAGTGTTAAACCAACGGTAACCGAAAAGACAGTTACCGTTACTCTAATGATAACTGCGTTTCCAGTTACCGTTGAAATAACGGTAACTATCAGTTAGTTAACTTTATGGTAACTATTTTTTAAGTATGCCAGAAATATCCACGCAGCGGCTGAAAATGGCTTCCAAAATCGCTAGTTTTCTACTAAACCTGTGAAACTTTCGTAAATGACATTGTTTTGTGTCAATCAACTAAATTAATCGAAATTATATAACTTCAATGTTTTGTAACTGTGGTTTTTCAGGAGGTCTTTGGGGACCTCATCTACAGCCAACTTGAGAAATCCTTTTTGTTTTATTAGATTAGATTACAAAACCATGTCATTTATGAAAGTTTCAACAGTTTTAGTGGAAGCCGCTGCGTGGATATTTCTGGCGTACTTAAAAAATAGTTACCATAAAGTTAACTAACTGATAGTTACCGTTATTTCAACGGTAACTGAAAAGACAGTTATCGTTACTTTAACGGCAACTGTTTTTCTAGTTACCGTTGTCGATAACGGCCGAAGAAGTAACGGGAACTTTTACAGTCCTAAGCTGTGACGAAAACTAATATCAGTTTTCAACAAAAAATTTCATGTCAATTAAGTCACTAGATCTCACTAAATGAATGCAACCAAGTAGAAAATGCTGAACAGAAAAACATAGTCCAATCCACTTTCTAAAATCTCAATGGACATTCCATAGATCTTTCAGATGTATTCGTATTTTTCGTATTTGTTTGAAATGTAGTAATATATGTTTAAAAACTTTTCAAGTGCGTAGAGACGGGCGTGATACAACGGTGAACAAGAGGATCAAGCTGCGAAACACATCGATGATGTAATGTAGTACTTTTCTGGTCAATATACGTTCGAATACAATTAACTGTAAGATGTGAATTAGAATCCTCTCTGCATTATCTATTGAAATATACGAGAAAACGTTTTTTCATGTGCAATCTCATAACAGTAGCTCATTCAAAATGATTAATTTTTCGAAAAAGTTCTTTTTGACCTGATTTTGAATTCAAATAACTTAACCATTCCAAATTACGCAGATTTCTTACATATATTTTAAGAATCTACAACCATTAGAACCGCGATAACTCTTTAAAAGTTGTTTTGGTTAATGCAGTTCAAAATCTATTAGAATGCAGAGTAAATCCCCATAGGATTTTCCACTTCGAAATTATTTACAAAAACAACTTTGGACAAACTATCGCAGTTACAATAGTCTAGATTCTAAAAGTATATGTAAGAAATCTAAGTAATTCGAAATTTTCTGAGAAGGACGAGATTAACATTGCAAAAAAATGCAACAGCTCTCAATAGAGTTTGGAGTTTTCCAAGTTTACGTGATAACGGATCTAAATATTTTTTCCATCACTGCCTAGAGCATAAATTTTAGTTTTTGTTTTGATATCCTTGCAGTGCATACGAAAATGAGCAAAAAATGGTTTTTGAAAACTTTTATGGAGTGTTTAAAACAGGTTGTAGTTTCTTCAAGCATACCGCGTAAGAGCTCCACTTTTTTTATTCTCGATTTTATAGTTTCATTTGTACATTGATATTTGTTTTCAAGAAAATTGTTTGCTCTAAGTCTTCCGAACGTGACAGGCAAAAATGTGGATGAGTAACTAAGTATGATGTTTACATTTCTGAAGATTTCAGTAAGATATCTGTTAATTCCATATATGGATCTCTCGTTTTAAAAAGAAAAGATTTCCAACTTCAGCATAGAAAGCGGTTTATAAAATGGTACAAACTCCAAAAAGTAACCCACGCGCTGATTCACCACTCAGTCTATTTTTTTATTTTGTTTTGGACATTAAAAAGAAGAACATAGCGATGATTTGAGAAATCGAGAAATGTTTCATTTAATGTTAAGAAAACATAAAACTACTATATTGAATCGAAATGTTTAGTAAATGGCTTTTGCCATTTACTAAACCTTTTCTATGAATTTAGGAGAATAAAAATCTATTGAATGAAAAATATTTCTAGAACAGTTTAACAATCGTTCACGGAATTATACTAAATCCTTCACTATCCTGGATCATATTTAGGCTCGGTAAAGGACACTCGGTCAAAGACTAACAGATGAAAGATGTTCGTAGTATATCGTGATTATTATTAACGTTTTTGTTGCTATTTGACCCATCGATAATGAACATTATTGGTGTGCTTTAGCTATGTTTAAATTGAATTCATGTATGAATAACGAAAAATGAACTACATCGATTGCTGACTCTTTTATGACAAGAACTACGCAATAACTAACTATAGTATATCACTACTGGTTGTTTATGATGAAAAAAAATTCAAGCTAAGATGCACGGAAAACAGACTTCAAGTTAAAAATAATTCATACTTTTTTATACATCATTCGATAGAAAATTGACAGACAAAATTGATCACGTATATTTTGTCCCCGCCTTCCAAAACCGTTTCCTCGCTGAGATATCTTCAAAATACTGCGACCATGTTAAAAATCCGGAAAAAACACATTTTTAATAAAGTGGCAGTAGTTTTGTCTGGTTTCATTTTCGAAACTTCAGAGTAAGTTTTTCGGATTCACCGTTGAAAACTGAATCCAGAAAACTTACTTTTAAAGCAGCAGGGCAAAAAACGGATTTTTCGCGGCGCCTTGAACCGACGCGTGTCGGAAGCGTCAGGCAGACGTTACGGTCCTAATTCAGGCTTTTCCAGAGGACGCAAAGTCAATATTTTTGCATGTCTAGATGTACCAGAGGTTAAGCTTCAAATCTATGTCCTCCGTTTCTTGAAAATCCTTTTCCTCGTTGAGAAAAGTCGATTTTCCTGGGAAAAATCCAAATTCTGATCCTAATTTGCAATTTCCCAAGCAAAAACGACCCAATTTTTTGGGTTATTTATCTAGATTCAGGTCCACGTGCATCTAGATGTACGGAGCTGAATCTAGATAAATAACCCAAAAAATTGGGTCGTTTTTGCTTGGGTTTCTCCAGCAGAACTCAACTTTCACGCAGTGAAAACATCATAGTCGGAACCAACGTCGAAAATCGAGTCGAATGATGTACTTTTTTTATCTTATTCGATCACTTCAATTTTAGCGTCGAAGAATTACTGAGATTTCCATCAAAAAATGAAAATGAACGAAAAAATTTGAAATATATGTCATTGGACTCGATTTTCGACGCTGATTCCGAATATGATATTTTCTTTGCATGAAAGTTGAACTCTGATGGAGAAAATTGCGAATTAGGATCAGAAATTGAAGTTTTGACAATCTGTCGCAGTATTTTGAAGATATCTCAACGAGGAAACGGTTTTGGAAGACGGGAATGAAATATTCGTGATCCTCTGTTAATTCTCTATCGAATGATGTATAAAAAAAAGCATGAATTATTTTTAACTCGAACTCTGCTTTCCGTGCATCTTACATTGTAGACAATTTTTAATGTTCAATAAGACTATCCGTGATTTATTCTTACATATCAAAAAGAAGTTGGTAAATTGATCAAATCCGATAGCATCTAGTAAACGGTAATAATGATCAGAAAAATTCTGACAACAGCTGTTATTATTATCATCCCTTGTGAAGTTAAAGTCTAATCCCAATTTTCAAATTAGTATCGGTTGGTTAATAAGAACGTTATATACATATATATATATGAATATGGTCTATCAAAAATAATTTATACTAATGATCATTTTCTATTTGATTACCCACCTTTCGTTTTCTAATAAGTAATTTCTTTTTTTTATCATTAGCCATGCCATTATTCTCTAAATGTTCGTTTAGTTAAACAACATTTAGGTGAATTTCTATTGAATATATTGACACTCGTATATAAGCATTTTTCAATTTTTTTTGGAGTGATTCTGGTGTATACATTATGATGTCGAACTTCTTTTTTTTATTTAACGTTCCATATGATTATAACATGTTGGAAACTACTTAGTTATTTTCTTTATATACAACATCAAATATCATATTGATACAGAGAGAAGGCGAGAATGTTGTCATATCTAAATATCATCGTACAACAAAAAGAGAAATTTCTTTTTTTATTACGATCATGCAATATGTTATTCACGAATGATGTTCATCATATAAATAAACAGCAATATATTATTAATTAACTATTTTTATTATATTAGTTGAAAATGTCACCAAACAAAAATTAGCGCGTATTATCAGTTTTTTTTCTCATTATGCATAACAAGATTACTGTGTAGTTTTTAAACATATTGTGTTTTTGTTTTTTATTCTAATGAAAAATAGAAACATGCCTCATAAAGCCTATTATTGAGATTGGAAGCAACATTCCAATGTTATTCTAGTTTTATTTA